GCCCAGGCTGGCCTCGAACTCACAGAGATCCGCCTGGCTCTGCCTCCCGAGTGCTGGGATTAAAGGCGTGCGCCACCACCGCCCGGCAATTTTACCATATTTTTAATGTTGATTTTTAAAGTTCCAGCATGTTCCTTTTGCCACATGCTAGGACTTTTCCACTAGCTAGGCTCGCTGTAGGAAATGTGTGCAGTTCCCCAACGTAGTCAGGAAACTGTACCAGAAAACTACTGACAGCTAGTGTGCTCTGGCGTCCGGAAGTCCCTGTGTCTTTGGGAGTGGGCTCACCCCTCCTCCTCTTCTGAGGTGCAGGAAACTGAAGGCATCTATGTCCCTCCACTGCCCATTTCTTTCCCTTTATTTTTATATTTATTCACATACTTCCTTCCTTATTTGAGCAAAGATCTTACTGCTGTTACCTGAAAACGTCTAGGCAGCCCAGGTTGGCCTCAAACTTGTAATGCTCCTGCCCCTGGCTCCTGAGACCTGGGACTATAGGCCAGCATGCCCAGCTCTTGTCCCTGTCTCTTTCTGTATCCACAGGTCACAGTTTTCTGTGGACATACAGACAACCTCCTCCAAAGGGCTGGTGTTCTACACAGGCCCCAAGAACTCCTTCATGGCTCTCTATCTCTCAGAAGGGCACGTCATCTTCGCTTTGGGAGCAGAAGGGAAGAGACTGCGGCTCAGGAGCAAGAAGAAATACCATGACGGGAAGTGGCACACGGTGAGAGCTGGGACTGTGTGAAAATGGGTTGAGCATCTGGAAATAACCCCAAGCCCAAAATGGTCCCATGTCCCAAACATTTTGAGCAAAGACAGTACCTCAAATAGAAAATTTCATGCCCAGTCTCTTATAACAGATTATAATCAAAATACTAAATATATAGATTCTCTTTCTGTTTATATATATATATATATTGAACATGAATGAATTTTGTGTTTAGACTTGAGTCCCATCCTAAGATATCTCATTATGTATATATGAACATTCCGAAAGCAGAAAACAGACTATAACACTTATGGTACTAAGCATTTCAGATAAGGGATCCCGGATCCAGTCTGTACTTCCAGCTGGTCCCGAATCTACTGTATCAGGACACAACAGGAAAAGTCCAGAGTTATTCCCAGGAGCCCTTGCATGTGTACAGGCAGAGTCTGGGTGGGTAGGGCCACTGGACACCCAGCATCTTGGGACAAAGACTGTCACAATGCATGTACCATGTGTGGATGGCAACCTGAATGTCAAGGTAGACTTCAACCATTAATTCTGTGATTTCCTCCCCAACTACCTGGGCTGCGTGGCTCCCCAGCCTATTTCCCATCTCTGCACACTGGACCGCTTCTCAGAACCAGTTCTGGGCTCCAGGCTCCTCTCTCTGTACCTGGTATTCTTTCTCACAGCACAAGCAGAAAGCCGCCTCTCACTGCATCCCTTACATCCCGACTCCAGTTGAGTTAAAAGTATACACTAGAAAAGGAAGCCATGTTTTTCTAATGATGGAACTGTTCATCAGAAAACCTGCATGACCTGATGAGTTCCACTCATTAATATTCAACAAATATTCAATGGGCGGCTCTCTTGGAGCACATGAACAAGCCTCCTGACTGTAATGTCAGATACTAGTCTTTTGGAAAGTGTTAGACTGGCTAGACCACAGGGAAGCAGAGTGGAGATGCTATTTTTGTTAAAGTCATCAGGAAAAGGCTTCTGGAGGTGGGGAGTGGGGGGCGGGGCAACCACCACATGACATCATGGGATTAGAACCAGAGTTAGCTCAGTGAGCAGACCACATTATAAGGGGTGGGATTGGAGGCGTAGGGTGGACAGGAATCGGATAACTTAAAGCTTCAAAGCCCAAACTAAGGGTTTAGGATATTGCTGGCTGTATGTATGTATGCATTTATGTATGTATTGTAGACATGCTAGGAACTGAATCTAGGGCCTCATAGACCTAGGTAAGCACTCTGCCATGAAGCTATAGGGTCTCAGATGCTTATGCTGACCTTGACTCTGTACCCTCCCACCACAGTCTCCAGACAGCTGGGATCACCAAGCTGTGCCTTCAGGCCTGGCTGTTTTTATTTATTTATGGGATAGGATCTTACTGTATAGCCCAGGCTGTCTTGGGACTCACTAGGTAACCTAGACTGACCTAGAGCTTGTGATCCTCCTGCATCAGCCCAAGTGGCTAAGAGTACCAGGCACGTGTCACTACAGCCAGCTTGGCCTCTGGGTTCTATTACAAGTGTCTCTGAAGCTTTGGAAGCCTCTTAAACTGGTAAGGCACAGACACAGGAATACAGTGACGTTTTCCAGTCTCTTTGGCTGAAGGATCTAGACCAGGGCAAGAATGGAAGTAGGGAAAGCAGACAGATGTTGTTGTCCTCATCTGGAAAGGCCGTGGTGAGAGTGGGGGGCCGTGGTGTGGAGGGTGGGGGGC